CTCTTTCATTCTTATGAGAAAATGGCTTCAGTCGATATCGACTGTATTGTTGTTGTATCCTCATTGTAAGGGGACAATCATTCTTTATACCATTTTCTTTGCGTTAGAGATACAAGTTTTACCTCTCGTGAATTTCCATACGCCATCGACGGGTTCGTTACGATCGTCCGAATTGCGTTCCCGATCTCGTGAATACCGACCACGTTTAGTTGTGGCATGAAGCGTATCGTTATCAGCCCACCAGCATGGCACACGTAGCGGAAAATACTAAAAATATCTCATAGAACGTGTACGGAGCGATAAGATTGGCTACGATCCTCTGTCTCGACACTCGTCCCGCTGTACGTACATAAAAAGCATTTTGCACACAAGTCTCTCATAACAATAGAGACCCTATGGCAAACACTGTACAACGACAAGAAAGATAAAATTTCTAATAATCTAATTCCACAATCCAATATTACATAATCTGATATTCACAATACCGTACAAGCCAATTTATATCAATTTAAAAGACCACCCTCCATGGCGTAACTATAAAATCACCAAACAATAATTAAATTATATAACCTATAACGATATACGTATTAAACATTATTTTCAGACGAGAATACTAGAAAAATAATAAAAAATAGAGTGGGGACTGCACAAGAGAAACTATAGCTTGCTTCGGATACGACCATGAACATACCATTAGAGGGTTAACTATTTATCCCTTCATTACACTAATTTGCTACAACTGTGTCAATTTGACACCAACGGACAAACTGACTTAGAAAGATGAGGAAAGAATGAGGGTTAAGTCCAACAGTCGCCGAAATGTCGGACTTCGGTCGTCGAAAATCTCGAGACGGAACGGTTCGGCGGGATCGAGATTAAAGCCGCTTGGTAGCGTCTGCAACCGTTTTCCGCGGGCCGGCTCGGGCTATTCAGGTCAGCTCTCTTGCTCGCCTCTTGGAAACGCCTCGGGACAAAAAGTCCCGTCGTCGACGACGACGTCTCCGGTGTCCCCGGGATCCTTAACGACTTCGATGCAGACGTCGTCGTCGTCGTTGCGATGCCCCCGTTGAGATAGAGATACAAGCTCCTCGCCACGTCGGAAAATCGGCCCTCACTCACGACGAAAAACGGTTCTTTCACTATCGATTCCGTCTTTTTCACCAGCCAGCGACCCAGATTAATTATTGTCGTGCGTCTAATTCCACGGCGCTTCGTCTGTCCGCCGTCTGTTTCTTTTGGCGCGACGTGAGACCGTTCCTCCCGCGGAAACTTTTACTGGTTATTGAATTTCCGTCGACTCTCGGCTTTCCTCACCCTCCCTCTTTCTCTCTCTCTCTCTCTCTACCTCCATCGTTCTCGAACCGCCTTGCTCCACTTTGCGTGCCTCAAGAAGTATCGAATTCCTCGCTTTTGTCGTACCATCGGACTCTCTGTTTCAATTCGAGTTTCCTCCCTCTCGAGATTCCAATCTCCTGGTTTTTCTATTGTTGGAATCCCGGAAAAGTTGTACAATTAGGTCGAAACAATGCAGGGGGAGCTATCACTAGGCCTGAATGGATGAAAATGGTACTCTTTTGTGAAAGAATCGGAGAGAAAGATTGCAGGGTCGAGGTTTTATCGAGACCCCTCACGAATCAATCATTTCTTTATTTATTCATTTAATGTATGTCAACGAGAATAGTCCTTTTCTACAAAACAAGTTACAATAAGACGAAAATGAACAGCGAACTTTGTACGATTCTGTAACAGAAATGAGATGAAATGAGTTATTCTACCACCTGTACCTGTTTTCTTTAGATAGCAATTTTCATGTTCTCCTGTGATTTACCCCTAGATTCCTTTTAAGGGTTTCGACAAGGTCAACCAAACATTTATCCTCGCGGGATGGGCACATCCTCGATCTTCTCAAACATTTTCAATCGGAATGTAATTGCCAGGAGGGTTCTTTGCACACACCAAGTGAAACCTCGGTGACACGTTACGTCTCCCCAGTTGATTGTTCTGGGGAAACGTTTACCGTCACTGGACACGTGTGTCCCTCTATTTGTCAGCCGACTTCCAACTCCGTCGGCACTGTTTACTCTGTCTTCGAGCGCGAGCAACGGGAAACGTCCAACCTGTTTCCGTACAGGTTACCAGAGGGTGAAGACCCTATCTGGATTATATACGGCGCGCGTGGCCATCGAGGTATACGATGTTAGTTCGATGCAGGCTCGACGAAGAAACTCGTGCAAAAATAATCATCGATGAATTTCACCG